TTTCTCCGCGCTCGCTGTTGTCGCCCTGTTGATGACGTCAGCGACGCGGTTTAATTGGGCGCTTTAGTCGAGCGCGGTTTTGTCGTGCCACGATGAAGAAAGAATAGGTCCACTTAACAATTGTGGCCTTTGCTTAAGAACCGCAACAATAAAGGTCGTAAAATCAGGTCGGTCATGTGGCCAACCTGTTTTACGACTGTCACAACTTATATGACCGCGATGGACAGCCCATTACAATTGTAACTCAAGAGCGGCCAGTAGCCAAGGTGAAGGAATCTTAGAGCCCAGTTCCTGTTCAGGCAACTTAAGTCTCCCGGAATCTGTTCACAGACTTACAAAAGCTCCAAATTTGAGGTGATAACCTTCCTGGATCAGGAGATCAGCAATGGCCCCACTGTGCTTGGAGATGACACTGCGACAGCCAGGAAGGAGCTGCTTCAGGAGTCCCGTGCCAGTGATATGATCAGCGTGGCAATGAGTGTTGACTGCCAAGGAGGAGGAGAAATTTAGCAGATTAATAGAACTGGAAGGGACCTTGCAGGTCATCTAGTCCAACCCCCTGCCTATGCAGGAGACCATACATCTTCCTCTACCTAATGCATAATTGTTTCCTCAAAGTTTACTTTACTTTATTGCCATTGCACATGGTACAAACAAAATTAAATGCCGTCTTCAGCGTACATTACAATTATAAAAATAAAAACACAAATATACATCCTTTACATTCTATATAATGGAGATGGAAAACCACTCACTTGCATATAGCAAATTAAGTCCAAGTTGCTTCACCAATGTTGAATCGCGCTTGGCTGTTTCCAAAACGGGGTCTATTAGAACGGCTTCCTTTGTCTTCATGTCTGCTAGCAGGTAAGTGTAAGTATAACTTTCTGACTCGAAGAGCTGGCAGGTGAAGGGGGGAAAAAAACCAACAAGAACTTAGTCCATGGAAGGGCAAGTGAAACAGTCCAATTGTATCCAGCCATGCTGGCTGGGGAATTCTGGAAATCAAAGTCGAAAAGTTGCCAAGTTTGGAGATCCCCTGCTCTAGACCCAGAAACATTTAAATTAAAATGATTTATTGTTGTTGTTGTTGTTGTTGTTGTT